TTTGGTCGCACCTGTAATTCAATGCTGCTAAGATCCATCTGATTTCTGAGTTGACATACTTAAAAAACAAGCTTGTTGTCTAAAATTGAAAATGATCTGCAACTGAAAAAAACTCTTCAGCGCAGCCAGTTTTTCATCTGAGGTTCTAGGGGGCTCTTTCTATTGAACAAGTTGGCCCATGCAATTATTACGTTAAATTCTAGTTAACTCATTTAGCGCTCTCCGGAGCTGTTTATGCATAAAACATTGAACTTGATGATAGGTGTATCTCCACTTTTGTCGATCTCGAGTTGTTCTTTATTTTAAATCATTCAAAAGAGTGGTTGTTTCTCTGTAGAGCATAATGACTTGAAGAGCGTATTAAAGTGAACGACTATTGTTCTTTCGATAACGTTTTAAAGATAAAAATAGAGCCTAATGACTCTGTTGAGCGTAATGAGTTAGGTGATTATTGTTCTTTCGATAACATTTTAAATATAAGTGTGCAAATAAGGGCAACCCAAATCAACAAGGTTTGTAAATTTTTCATCAGAATACTAGGCGGAAAAGCTATTTTTTCTTTTTGCATAAAGTAACAGGCTCAATACTTTGGAGTTTCAAATATAACTACATGAATATCAACACGTTTTTGCTTTTAGATGCAATGTAAGTCATATTTCAAGAAATGAAACAATTGAAGCTATCGCTTTAGCCTAAAGTTAAAATTGGAAATTTTTTAGCCAAATAAATGTTTTGCTTGAAACAAAATCTTTTTATATTCAGGACATGTAACCTTCTATTGAACGACAGAGTAACGTTTTCAATTTTGGCAAAAAGACAGGAAGCTAGTCCAAACGAATGTCCCAATCAGATGTATTTTCTGCGCCAGGGTAAAATTTAAAACCGCGTGGTACCAATCTGGCTTAGCTCGTGTACGAATTTTGCCGTATCGAGAAAAAACACATGCAATAGCAAAATAATTAAGGTTAGGTTTTGTTTGTTTTAAAGACGTATAACCCGTCAGTTGTATCATAATCAATTGGAGTATACTTTTGTTGCGTTAGAATTCATCAGGTGAAACTCAAAAAACTACTGTTATTTGAAATTTAATTTGTTCTTTGTTATTGATTTTTTATTTCCTTCCTCAAAAATTACTAGATATCGGTCATTATGGAATTTGATTTCATTCTCGTGTTTGAAAACACCCCGAATTGTAAACTGTTATTATCAGTGCCATCGACACATCATGTTGCCCCCAGTTTGAGTTTTCTTAATTAAAAAATTGACAAAGCTATATCGTTAGCTTGTAATTTGAAAAGATCTTATTGCTTCCTTTGCTAAATGAGTTGTATTTAACTTGATTTACTTATTAAGCTGAACACACGTAAACGAAACAGTTTACAGCTTCCAACGGTTAAGCTACTGATTTTTTTCACCTACCGAACAATTCCAATTCAAATATTTTACGAAATCTCCGCCAAACCGAACGATCATAAAACGAAAGAAATAAACCAATTAGTTTGAACGATGTATTTAACTGAACGAAAAAAAGGAATCAAAGCTTTGGAAAAGGATATATTTTGGGTCCATTCTTATTAAACTGTGCAAGAACCTATGGAGGGGTCTTTTTTGTGGGCGAGGCCTTCCATTTACACAATCCTAGGACAGGAGATTGTCAAATGTTGGCTGAGCTCCTTCGTTTTACAAGGGAATCTTCCTCCACACGAAGGACCCCCTATACAATCCCAGACACGAAACAAAAGTTACTTTATTAATTGATGCAATAATTAAGTTTTATCGGTACGTCTACTTATGTACCAGCTATATCACAACAAGCATAAAAACGACACTAACTTAAAAATACCTTTGGTCGTATTTTCTTAAGACTATGGTCGGAACATTCTGTGCTACCTGCACAGAAACCGGCTATCTTTTTTTGGTTTCAAATTGGTTGGAGCGGTATCCAAGATATACAAATATCAATTGTGGCTGCTTAAGCAAAATATCATACGAGTCATATTGTATACGGTGTTAAATGGGTTGTGGGTTGCACTCTTTGTTCGACTCAAAATACCGACTCTGAGAATTAAAATTTCCATAATTTTATTTTTAACTTAAATTTTTTTTACCTCAACTAAATTTATGATAGTTTTTCCAGCGATCATTGTAGCAATTCGATTGTGAGTTTAAGTCCGGATTGGCTTCTCATAAAGCAATTTCGGATGAAGTACACCGTCTGTTCGTCACGCTATCTTACGGCCGGGTAGGTTCGTGCAACTTCTTAGTCTAATACTCTTATATCTCCTAGTCTCAATAGATCTAGCGTATAATAAACCATATAAATCTTTTTCTTTCTTATAGAGGCAATGTAAGTCACATTTCAATAAATTAAACAATTGAAACTGCCGCTGTAGCTTAAAAGTAAAATTGGAAAATTTTCAGCCAAATAAAATTTTTGCTTGAAACAAAATATTTTACATCCAGGGCACGTGCTTAGCTCGTGTACGAATTTTGCCGTATCGAGTAAAAAACATGCAATAGCAAAATAACGGATTTGTTAGAAAGGCTAGGTTTTGTTTGTTTTAAAGACGTATAACCCGTCAGTTCTATCATAATCAATTTACTTTTGTTGCGTTAGAATTCATCCAACGATTCGTTGAAACTCATGAAAAAAACTGGAATTCGAAATTTAAAATGTTCTTTTATATTGATTTTTCGTTTTTTTTTTCCAAAAAAGACTAGTTATCGGTCATTATCGAATTTGATTTTCTTCTCGTGTTTCAAAACACCCAGAATTGTAAATTGTCATTGTCAGTGCCATCGACACATCATGTTGCCCACAGTTTGAGTTTTCTTAATTAAAAAATTGACAAAGCTATATCGTTAGCTTGTAATTTGAAAAGATCTGATTGCTTCCTTTGTTAAATGAGTTGTATTTAACTCGATTTACTTATTAAGCTGAGCACACGTTAACGAAATTGTTCACTGCTTTCAACGGTTAAGCTAATGATACCAATCCTATTTCGTCACGAAATCTCCGCCAAGCCAAACGATCACAGAACAAAAAAAAATAAACCTATTAATTTGACGATGAATTTAGCTGAACGAAAAAAAAGATGATTTTGAAAAAAAAAATCTTTTTTTTTGTTTTTTCTTAAGACTATGGTCGAAACATTCTGTGCTGTTTGCTTACAAACCGGCTGTCCTTAATTGATTTCAAATTGGTCGGAGTTCTATCTAAGAAATACAAACATCGATTGTGGCTGCTTAAGCAAAATATCAAAAGGCTCATCTTGTATATGATGATAACTGGGTTGTACTTTTTGTCCGATTCAAAATAACGACTCTGAAAATGAAAATTTCCATAATTTCAAATTTAATTTTCATTTTTTGTTTTTTATGTATTTTTTGCATCTGCTTAAGCTATGATAAATTTTGCAGCTATCATTGTACCAATTAGATCGGGAGGGAGTGATTAAAATCTGAGCCTGAATATTTCGCTGCGTAAGCAACGCGTTAGAGGAAAATCGGGAATGTTGCACAAATTATATATCCCAAACCGGTCAAAATGGCAGATATCAAATACCAATAACCTCATTGATGATTACCCCAGTAATTATTCTAGCTCACAGGGTATTGAAATTTTCCCCGCTGTATAAAAATCTCAAATTACAGCGTAGAAAATTGTGAATCTTATCTGAAGAAACGATATCCTACTATAAAAGAGTAAACGGCTAAGAAAACATGACTGCTCGTATCAGGGCGAAGCCCTGAATGTTCCGACTGCCTTTAAGGTTTATGGAGCAGCAGTAATAACATTTAAAAAATGAAATGAAATAAAATAAAACGAAATTTTTTTTTCTAAACTTTGAAATTTTTTATGAAAATCATCCCCCACACGCCATATAAAGTAAAAAAAAGAGAGATTTCGTTCCTTGTAACAAATCAATTATGGCAAATAAGCTTCGTTCAACCAATTTGGAACGATTTATAAGACGGATTAAATCTCCGCTTACGCGTTAATAGCGCGAATTATATCGCGCGTTAATTGTCCCAAATTGGTCAAAATGGCCAAAATGACAATCTTTAAACCCTCATAACTTTACGAAAAATGATCACAGGTGAAATATCTTTTCAAATTTAAGCTCAGGACAACAATACCTTTTGAATGATATAAAAAAATTCCGTCAAAAATGGCTAGTTAAAAAGTCGAAATTTGTCTGAAGAAAAAAAAACCCACCCCGAGCACAAATATTCCGTTACTTTCGTACCGAAAGTCGGAACAATAATTTCAAAATGAATTGAGTCAAGCAATTTGCTCTAATTAATAAGCTACCAGAGGCAAAACTTTCAGCGTTGCACTTTACACTGAACGTAAACATAAATGGGTATGAAACAAAAAAATGAAACCCTAAAAAAAAGAACAAAATTGAAAGTTTTTCATTTTTTTTCTGCATATTTTTCAACAATTTTTTAAACTGAATATTTTTTCATTGACGATAAAGGGCAGTCGAAACAATCAAGGTTTCGCTCTGATGCAATGATTTCCTTCAATTTTGATTTGAGATTGCGGCATCTCATGAATCTGGTCAGGTTTTTACATTTTTGCAGCATTTTTTTTGAAAAGCTTCACGACAGATTTTGACAAACACTAAATTGTAACAATATTCCGAAGTTTTCATTATCGACTGACTTAAAAACATTTTTAATTTATTAGCAAGCTTGGCGTTCGGAGCTTTTTTGAGCCATATGAGCAAGTTGAGTTCAGGTTTGCATGCGTTTCTTTTCTGTCGTATAACAGGTTTTGATAGAAAACTGCCCTCAAATTTTATACGATGCGTGGTTCACTAAATTGGAGAGTTGAAAGGCAATTTATATTGTTGAATTCGGGGTCCCTTATGGCAGGTAAAATGGTCGCGATAAATTTCTCTTCTGCAGATGCGACCCAGGTCATTTGAAAAGCCATCCATCCAGTTTGACGTCAGCGTGGATTTATTTCCTGAATTGTTCAAGCTTCTGGTGGCTAATTCGCTCAATTTTTAATTCTCAGTGGTATTATTTGCAGCATATATTCCAACTTGAAAGTCAGACTTGGCTTATTTTCACATTTATCTTCTGTACCTCAGCCACGCATAGTCTTTTTTCTTTTATTTTACGGTCTTTCTTGTTATTAAATCTTCTTAACTAAGAGCACTGAATGGTACAGATTTCTTAATTCACGCCCATACCAGATACATTCAGCTTTTGCTCTTATAGAAACGAATATACGCAACACAAGTTACGCTCGAGTATTTAACAAACTGAGCGCATGCTTAACGCGTAATTTGCATTATTGAATAAACTACGTTGACTTAACAAAAATATCAGCTCCATTGCTGCAACTTGAGAAACTGAAGATTTGCTGGTTGTTAAACTTATCGCAGATAAAAACTACAAGGTAAGTTTGACTGTATATGATCAAAGCCTGACCTGACCGTCTTTGGAGCTATTTCAACTTGGATTGTTATTTGTTTTTTTTCTTGCATAAATTTTCAGTTATTACGCAAACTTAGTAAAAATAATTTTAAAAAGTTCATTATTTTTGTTCTTTTAGAAAAAATTTAATTACTTCTAAGAGCCAAGTTTTGATGTTCAAACAATTTATAATTCACTATAAAATTATGAATCGAAAAATTATATATTATAATTTTTTCAAGAAATCAAAATAGATTACAATCAATTAAAATTGATTATAATTTTTGTTGAAAATCTCTTAGAATCGATTACAAATATAACAATTGAATTGATGACAATTGGTCTTTTATTTTGACAAATTTTAATCACAAACACAAATATATATTGGATCGGATTATAAATTTGCTGACAATCCCTAAACGCAAGATGTCTTGCCACAATTTGATGAATCTGAACACAAAATCTCACCAAGAAACAAAATTTTGATGCAGATCCGTTCAGATTAGTTGAAAGGCTCCAGCGTTCCCGGGATGACCGAAACTCCTTATCATACAATTCCCATATATGAGAAACTTCTTGTCATACAATTCCATACAATGCCATACGTACAGAACATTGTATGAAATCTCTATGATAAACATTTTTCCATAAATGAAAATTGTATGATAGATGTTTTTCCATAAAGCAAAAAGTTTGATTTTTTCTTTCTAAATTTATTTCTGAAAAATTTTACGTTGTGTTTGCAGCCGAACACAAGTGACAAAGACCTTGGTTACTCAAATCACCTAAGGTTGGACGGTCTTTGCAAATGCATAGAAAACGACCTGAGTTCGGCTGTCTTTCACAATTGATATAACAAAAGCAACAAACTTTTAGTTTTGTTATATGAAACTAACCAAGCCAAAACAATTTTTCATCTAAAGCAATAGACTGATATTTGAGTGCTAAAAGAAAACAAGACTGCTCGTATCAGGGCAAAGCCCTGAATGTTCCGACTGCCTTCTAAGGTTTATTGAGCAGCAGTAATATATAAAAAAAATTAAATGAAATAAAATAAAATTAATTTTTTTTTTCTAAAATTTGAAATTTTTTATGAAAATCATCCCCCCACACGCCAAATAAAGTACAAAAAGACAGATTTCGTACCTTGTAACAAATCAATTATGGCTAATAAGCTTCGTTCAACCAATTTGGAACGATTTATAAGACGGATTAAATCTCGCTTACGCGTTAATAGTGCGAATTAGATTGCGCGTTAATTGTCCCAAATTGGTCAAAATGGCCAAAATGGCAATCTTCAAACCCTCATAACTTTACGAAAAATGATCACAGGTGAAATTTCTTTTCAAATTTAGGCTCAGGACAAGCATACCTTTTGAATGAAAAAATTCCGTCAAAAATGGCTAGTTAAAAAGTCGAAATTTGTCTGAAGAAAAAAAACCCACCCGAGCACAAATATTCCGTTACTTTCGTATCGAAAGTCGGAACAACAAACAAAAGTTTGCTTCATTAAAAAAATTATTGGAGAAAAAATAAAGCAATTGCTACATATATGAGTTGATTTCAAAACTGCCGAAACGCTTAACAGGCTTTTTGTATTACTCAGTATTACTCAGCATATATTTAAGAAACTTGGATGCAAAAAATCAAAATACGATGAAAGTAATCAATTATATCCTAATTTGTAATAAAAGTGTAAAATTTATCGAATAAGAAGTGAATTAGAATTAATTATATTCCATTATGATCGATTGAAAATGGATTTAGTTGCTTGAAAATAGTAACAGTTATTTCATTTTTTTTATTACAAGGAGCTTTTTTCGAATTTCTTTGCTCAGGTTCAACTATTAACCCTTTTTGCTGATTGCGGCTATACTTCCATCTGTCTTTCTATCTCACAATTAATTTTTCTAACTTCTGATGCTGAATTTATTCAAGCTTTTAGAGTCAGTCACTGGAAAATTTTATTCAAAATAACATCTTCAACCTAAAGTGATTAAAACGGAGGGTGTTAAATTGGTTTTAAGCTGCAATTTTTTCCAATCAAAAGCGTACATTTTAAGCACATTAAGCTCTAAGCAAAATAATTTTGAAAAAGTTGAGTGCATAATAATAGTTTGGACTAGTTAAGGGAAGGATGTTAACTGGATCCAAAAAGTTGAGTATAGTCTCAAGGCAGGCTTATAACTTTTTGGAACCTGATCTAAACTATATTTTATGGTTGGATAAATTAGATATTTTACCACTGTAAAGTATTTAATATTAACCAATCATGATCCATCTAACTAACAACCCACTTATTTGTAAGTGCTGAAATTACTTGTAATTTCAGCACCAGAGAGATTTGAATTTAACTTAGAAATTAGTTGTCTCTCCAAGAGAACTTCAGCAGCCGCAACAAACCAGTATACCCTAGATCTATTGAGCCTAGCAGAGACTAGTTAAACACCCTGAGACTGGAAAGTATAAGAGTAAGATTAGGATCGGTATTAGACTAAGAAGTTGCACGAATCTATCCGGCCGAAAATAAGATAGCGTGACGAGCAGACGGTGTACCCTATCCGAAATTGCTCTATGAGTTAACCACATCGGTCTTAACTCATCTGGTGCGACCATAAGTCTCGAATAAGACCTTAATAGCTTAGAATTAACCAAAAATCGATTAGAATTTAGACAAAACATTTTCAAAATGTTATACGATAATAATTTAATCGAAATGTCTCTACGACTCAATAGATCAGAGCCAATATTCCGAACGATAATAGAACTACCCGGAATTGGAAGAAGACCTCGAAGAAGAGACGACATACGACAAAGTAGAAACTTACCAAATAGTTTTATGATCGCACGGCAAAAGCCAACACAAACTTTTATATTTAGAATCTTATTAGCAATGAATTTAGATTTTCATTTGCAAACATAAAATTTTGAAGTCAATCTTCATGATCATTTCAGGCGCTAAACAAAATTATTAATATACAATAACGATTGATAAAAAGATCTCAGATCGTTTTCCTAATTTCTGCAGTCTTATATAAAACATGTTTGAAAAATATTTATTGAAAATGAAAATAAAAATTAGTAGCATGACAATAAATTGTAAGTAATCATAAAATCATCTGTTGTCCCAGCTTCATCACCTAAACATAACAGCAATCATAAGCTCGCTAATATCATTAAAAGACCAAATCTTTTTCTTAAATAAATTTAAACCAAATTAAACTTAAATTCACTTAATTTTAAAAATTAGATCATCAAGGCTTATCCTTGGATCTCAATAAATTTTTTATTTCATTAAAATTAAAACCTGATCATCAAGGCCTATCCTTGGATCAAAAAGAACAGCTTTGTTCTCCCCCACCCACTTAACAAGTGTCTAACGACCTCAAACGTCGATTCACTATCCAACCCTTCCAAAAGACCCAAGACTAATAGAAATTTTTAAATTAAACTAACCATTCAAATTAGGATAAACAGTGAAGAACTTCGGTTATTCATCCTTCACTTGAACCCTCCTCTTACCAGACCCAGGATAGATCTTAAACTTAGTAAGTTTAAAATAGTACCTAACGAACTACTTGCGTTCTAATTATACCTGAACCTTGTGGATCGATTTACTATTCTCCAACCTTTGAACACAATCACTACCCCTAAGTAAGATTAAGTAAGTTAACACCTTAGCTTAGACTAGCCACGAGAAAGTAAAAAATCATTCCTCGGAATCGATATACTTTTCTCTCCAACCCTAAATAAAAAGACCCAGGTTAAGCTAACCAAAAAATCGTAAGGACTAACAGTCTAAGAAAATAGAAATACCTAACAACTTTTTGCATCCCTCATCCTAAACCTTATGTCATTCAAAAATCTAGGAAATAAACAAACAATCGTTTTACACAACTGTGAGATAGATAACCAAAAATACGATCTTGTCATCACATCTCGTAAAAAAAAACAGTTGGATACATTAGAACAAAATGACAAACAATAAAAAGAAAAATTATAAACATACAAAGACAAATCACACGAAAAAGATTTTCAAAAAATAGAAACGCATACTCAGAATCAGAAGCCAGCAATTTAGATGAACTCTACAAATTAAAAGAATCAATTGATAAAAATTGTCACATTCACGATCAAATATATTTTTCCGATTCAGAAACAACTTCAAATTCATCAAAAAGAGGAAAAAGAAGAATAAAAAAGCAATACAAACACAAACCAGTACACTTGTATAATTGGAATCAACCAAATAGACACATCAATAGTTATATATTAACAGTCATTAAACGAAAAAATGAGCCACACTCAAAGTGACGATAGTCCAGATGACGAAGAGGTTTACCCCTTCCTCATAGATGCCCCCGATAATAGAGGGCAACATGATTTTTGCAAGAATTTACTCCTGAATTTGTTTGAACCCGGAATCAGCTCATGCAAAGCAGAATTCCCAGATGTAAAAATCAAAAGACAAATTATTGAACATTATCTGAAAAATATATGTAATCTAACACAACAATACGGAATCTACACCATAGAATTCAGCACACCAAACCCGAATCACCGCAAATATGTAATTCAAACAGACGATCTTGAATTAGAATTTTCAAAGGTATTCTTAGAATATATTGAAAGCATACAATATCATAATTCACAAAGAGCAAACTCTGTATTCACTAAAGAAGTTTTTGTAATAATATATACCTATATTTCTATATTAGAAAAAACAGAATTAAAAAGTATCTCACCAACTGAAACATCAAAACATACAAAAGTACGACATGAAATCACATTATTTTCAACTTTTCTACATATAATCAAAGAAAATTTCACTAAAGACGATGTTTCACAACACAAAAAACATGACTTACAAAAAATTTTGGCATGGTTTATAATAGATTATTTCACACATAATATAGACTTATTTTCACAAGCAAGAAAAAATTTCAGACCTCAAAATTCAAATGATGATACTGCCATTACAGA